AACAGCTCTACTTTACATTTATTCAGTTACAGGTGGTTTTATAGCTCATAAATACCTGAAAAAACAAGCATTCTGACTGTGAGCAGGGTTGCCTCTCCACAGATCTGATCTGTAACTTGGCCTGGTTTAGTCTCCATGAAGATAAAAAGGTTTAATACCTTACTGTTAAATATCCCAGACAAAATAATAACATATTCATGGAGAGAAGCATTTGACAGATCCTCCTCCAGACCTTTAAGTTGGCCTAAAACGTGAAATTGCCGAGACTTATGGAATATTCAAATTGAATTTAAATGGGTCAGTGTAATCCAAGCTTTGTCCAGGAGTGGTCCAACTTAAAAAGGTCAAAATAAATCTAGTTCTAGACTATAAGTAAAATGTAGGATTTATGGATTTATGTATGTATTTATTTTGGGCAAGTAAGAAATTGACATTCTTTTACAATGGAACACATAACATTAATGAAATCATAGCAGAAATAACAACAACAACAAAATTAAATAAAATAAAAAACTGGCATAAAACTGGGATGTAGTATGTAAAAATGTAGGATTTAGTCTTATGCAAAACTGACTCTTGTGAGATTTAAGTCATGTTATAATGCTGTTACCTCTACACAAACATACCTGGAGTTGTTTTGTATCATTCACACATGTTGGAGTGATTCATTATTAATAGTCTGTCTACATCTCCAATGCTCAAAATGCACTTTTCCACCTTGTGATGTCATGAAGTTTACAATTACCTTCAACCTTTACTTCAGTAGAGATTGACAATTCCAGGGCTGAAATTATCCAAATGATTCTAGTGAAGTGTGATGAGGAAACAACATTATAACAGCAGAGTGTAATATCAATCTTTCAACTTTTTTGCTACTCCATATGTCTTATTTTATATATTTGATGTCTTCTGTATGTATCTAAAATGTAGAGAATAACATTGAATGAGTCCAAACTTTTGAATGGTAGTGCAATTAATTCAAAATGTGTTTAGATCTGTATTTGAAAAGTATATACATTCATTTATTTTTGAAAATGTTTCTTCTTTTTGTTTAATTACACTGCCAATCAAAAGTCTGGACACACCCTCTGATTCAATGTTTTTCTTTTCTTTATTTTTATTACTTTTTATATTTTATTTACGTACAGAAAACATCAACTATATAAAGTAAGATGTATAGAATTATTATGAGTTTGTGCAAAAGACAGGAGTAAAAGACGAATTATCATAAAATAACATTTCAAAAGGTGCCCTGAATACACAATGGAGCCTCCTTGTTCCTGTGCTGGGTGTTTATATTGATTCACACAAGCATCATCTGACTCCTGGAGCCCAGTCGGACCAAAATAGTCTGTCTGTCGCTGGGAAATAAATACTGAAAGAAAGTCCAGGCGGCTGCTTTTCTTTTCAAGGAAGAGGCTGAATTTACCTCACTTTGCTTTTAGTATGAAAGCGGAAAATATTACTTGAAATGTCACAAATAATAATGTCCGATATATTTACTTACACACGTTGTTTCAAGTTGCTGTTGGGTCATTTTCTGGAGCCGCTCATACTTTTGGTTTGTGTTTTATTCAACTATATGATCAGTGGTGGATAAAGTACTCAATTTTGTTTCTCAAGTAGAAATATAGACACAGGGGCAAAAGATTACTTGATTAGAACTGAAGTATCACATGTAAAATCTACTTCAGTAAAAGCACCTGTTTAAAAGTGTACTGCTAGTGTAAAAAGTAAGTATTTTGCTGACATTTCTGTACAATTAATGCATCAAATGTAGTGATTTTGATCAAGAATTTAACTGATTTTAAGTGACTCAATTTGATTTCTTAATTTTTCTAGCTGTTCTGTGTATGTGTATTTGGTTTGCTCGAAGTTGGAACGTTAACTCAAATGAAATGCTAAAAATAAGTCTCAGCTTTTCCAGCAGGTCTGAAAAGTACTGTTTACTTTTCAGTTCAGATCTAAAATGTAGTGGAGTAGAAAGTACAGATACCTACTTTCAAATGTAGTGAAGTTCAAGTAAAACGTGTCCCTAATAAAACTTTTGGATCTTATATTGGGCTTATTTAGGCTACATTTACGGTTAATCCGCCCCTTTACGGTCATATTTAAAGACAGTAGGTAGGCTTAATGGCATTTTGCATGACATTCTAGCCTGTAAACAAACAAGAATAATAATTTTCGTGAATATTAGAGGAGTTTTGGCCCGGTGTAATAGGTGGTTGCTAAATAACACTTTCGGAATTCCCTAATATGATGGTAAGATTTCCAACGAGGAAGTAAAACCTAAAAAATGGTCAAACTGGGAAAGATGTTGCCATTTCTTTAGTAAAATCTTAAATATAATAACCGATAATAACTGTGTGTTAGTAAAACGAGTACTGTAGTCTAATCTGTCATAGGCATTTACACACCTTGGACCGTGGTGGAGTTCCAGATCCTGCACTCAGATACATCTAACAGTTAGCAGAAGTAAAAGGTGCTGCTTACCTTTAATTTGGTGGCCACTGATGTTCTGAGGTGATCACCCTTTCTGCGCCAGGTCTACAGATTATCAAGCCTGCCACATGTTAAATTTGCTTTCTGTTCAACTTTATAGAAATCACTTATATAGACATAAAAAAGAATCCGCTGGAGGCAGTTCAAATTGCAGAATAAGAATATATTTATTGATGGTCCAAGTTTGACAAACAATAAAGCAAGGCACCATACAAAAAAAGTACAAAGCTAGATGAAGACTCCACAAAAAACTCTCCCCGAAAAGCCTTGAAAACGAAAAGAGCAAAAGTAGAAAAGCGCCAAATAAAAGCAAAAGCAAAAAGGTCCTGGTTCCTTTGTCCTTCTGCTATTATACCCCAAAAACATAGTCCCTCCCTGGCTATGCCCATATACGTCTTTCCTTTTACCAGAATGTACACTTTATTTTCCTGACCGTAAATAATGGCAGGTGCGGGGATGTTTTCTTGCTACTTGGGATTTTACAATGCTGTCATCAGCCGTTGTAGGTGTATCCACTTGTTGACAGATAGCCCAGTGCTTTTGTAATGTCTGCACCTGGCCTAATAAATCTGCTTTAAAATACATATATTACAATCAAGAAGCAATTTGTGAAGAAAAGTTGAAAAATCCCATATTGATGACATCACACCAGCCAAAATTCTGTCCAAGAGTTCCACACAATTTATACTTACAGAACACTTTTTTGGCCCATTATGCAGTATGTTTGCCAGGTAACAGTTAGGGTATTCCCTAGTGTAATGTCATGATTTCCTAGCCTGATTCATCAGCTGGTTTTACTTCGTTTGACTTTGTAGAAACCGTCTGACCTGACAGCGTTGAAATTTGTTTGCTCGATGATAGACGGGTACTTTTTGTCATTTGTCAATCGCTGCTATTTGGTCGTGACATATGTAATGCGCCGGTAACAGGGCTTACTGATATATTAATCTTTTCCCAAATTCCATATAAAGAAGGGCAATAACGTCTTTCCCCTTGATAAAATTCACCAAACATTCTCTTTAATCCGTCTTTAAATCCTCGATCTGGGGAATTGTTGACAACAATGAATATATCACTCTTTGCTGATTGGCTGGTGCCCGAACTTGCACTTCCGGGGTTTTTCGAACCGTCTAGTGTATTTTGATTCCTGTCCTAGTTACTGGAGAGAAATGAAACTGAGTGGAGGCACTTGGTGGCGCCAGCCTGGTTAATGATTTCCAACCAGGAAGTAAAGTATTAAACCTAAAAATTGGCCAAATTGGGAAAGCATAGCCCATTTTTTTGTTTCGTTACTACCTACATGAGAACCAATTTTTTTCCCAACAGGGCATTGTGTAGCTTTTCTGGCTTTGCTTCATCTTGAGTGTTTCACAGTGTGGTGTTAAAGCTTTCTATCTTCATGGAGACAAAACCAGACTAAGTTAGAGGTCAGATCTGTGGAGAGATCTATTTTTATAGATATTTTTGAGCTATGATACCATCTGTAATTGACTAAATCTAAGGTAAAGGTTAAGTTTGAGCTGTTTAAAACCATACTGTGGAACATTCCAAGCAGAGCAATGATGTATTCACAGAAACCAGCAGGTGAAAGTTACTAGTGCACCTTTAAATACATATAGGGAAACTTCATCTAACATTTCAGAAAAAAGGCAAATAAGGTTCTGTATTGCAAATGAATCACTGTGGTGATATTAATCATTTGCAATAATTTCTCAGCATTGTTATTTTAAAACACCTCTCCCTTTGGAAAAGATGAGGAAAGCATGACGTGTATGTTATAGTGTTGCTTCCTCCGTATTTAGACTCAAAACACCAAATGGAAAACACCTTTGTGATGTCATGTGGTAATACAGAAAGCGCTCAACTGTGTTTTTAAACCTCATAAACCTTCATTAGAGCAATTTAACTTCAGCCTTGGAATTGCCAATCTCTAATGAACTAAAGGTAGCTGTTAACTTGAAAACTAACACTACATGACATCACAAAGTGGAACAGAACATTTTAAGCTTTAGACACACTAATAAAACAGGATTACTCAAACATATGTGAATCAAACAAAACACAGCTCTAGGTTTGTTTTTGAGGAAGCAACAATATTCTAATATAGCTTAAAGGTGCACTGTGTAACTTTTTGGTTCGGGGTCCGACACATCTTGTTTCAGTGGATATGTACTTTCTCTGCTTCGACTGTTCCACAGTATGACATTAAACAACTCAACCTTAACCTGTACCTTAGATTTATTCAGTTACAAGTGGTTTTATAGCTCAAAAATACCTAGAGAAACAGGCATTCTGACTTTGAGCGGGGTCGCCTCTCCACAGATTGGTCTCCAGAGTGAAAGCAAGGTTTAAAGTCATACTATGAAACATTTTTGACAAAGCAATAACCATCTCCATGGAAAAAGTATTTGACGGACCCTCAACCAGAAACAATGCACCTTTATAGCTCTATATTAAAGCACCCTTATTAACAGTAGTGTCATTTTGTGTTTGTGCAGTTACATCTATGACCCATCAGTGACGGTGGATGGCAGAAAGAACGACCCTGCTATCAGCTCCCTGTACCAGCCACACCACCTCTCAGGAGCGCCCCCCGGTGGAGACCCTCGCCACGGCAAGCACAAACAGGGTATCCACAACCCCGGCTTCAGCAAGTACAATGACAGCACGCTCAAACTGGAGTCGGATAATAATCATGTGAACCACCGACTGCATTCTGTGCCTTTCAAAGAGGTCCACAGGCAGGCCAGTGCCCCACCTGCAGAGGGCGATCTTTACATCATTCAGCCAGATGCCCCGGGACCAAGATGGATAATGCAGGAGCAGCCCAGCCAAGTGCCAGTTTATCCTGAAATTCAGAGCTATGAAAATCAAATGGACTACAATGATAGACAGGGGAGAAGCGGCTGGAGTGGGTCACACACAGAGTTTAGAACAGAGAGCTTATCTGCGGATGAGATAGATGAGGGGGTGGGAGGGACCCCAGAGTACCCCTGTGATACCGGGGACGAGGGCAGCGTTCTGTCTGTGGATATACACACCAGCACCACCAGCCTCTCCTCTGCCGACACCAAGGAGGACCACAAGGAAACAAAGACCCCCGAACTGTCCACAGTGGAGAGCGGCATCGTGGTGAGCAAGAGCGAGGACGAGGAGGAGGAGGACAGAGAGCAGCCAAAGAACGAGGCGGAGGAGGTGGCGAGTGTGACGGACTCGATGGTGGCGGAGGCTCTGGCTGCTCTGGAGGCTGCCACCGCTGGAGAGGAGTTTGAGTGAACACTTGTACTTTAAACTTTAATCTCTATGAAGGAAAGTCAGTCAGTCTCCATGAACTCAACATGCAAATGAGCAGATGACCGTATGGAAATATGTAGGGCTTGTGTCTGCATGACTCAGGTCAGTACAGGCTGCTCCTTAAGCCTGGACTAATAACTCTGAAGGAAATTATTTAACTATTGCTTGAAATAAATAGTCCATCTCAGGCAACACAGAAGCTTATTTTTATTTGAATGAACAGTCTGGACTTTTTAAATAGTTCTGAACAAGACTTGGAAAAAAATTAAATGAAGGAACTTTGTTTACAAAAAGTGAATATATTTTTAAACCTCGGTTTAGTTGTCATGTACAGACAGTGTCTGCCTTTTGAAGAAGGCAACATTTCCAAAGCTGCTTGGCTCATGTAAGCCCCAAGTACAGAGAGGTGAGGTGAGCGGGGCGTCTACACTGTGAACATGTGAACAGTGCCTGCAGCCATCTCTGCCTCTAGTCTGTTTGAATGGAGTTTGACAGAGCACAGCCCTAATGCCACTGTGAGGGATCGCTCACCGCTCTGCCATGCCCACTGCCTGCACACACTGCACACTATACACAGACTCTACACACTCTGCACAAACTCTACACACTCCACTCTGCACACTCTTTGCACACACTACATAGTCTACACACACTTTGTATACACTTTGCATACTCTGCACACACTACACACACTGCACGCTGTACACACTCTACACACTCTACATACTCTACACACTCTACACACACTATGTACACTGTACACACTCTACACACTCTACATACTCTACATACTCTGCAAACTCTGCACAATAGCACATTTCATGAGTGGCCCAGTGAAGGGTCTCCTGATTCCAGTGCCTAACACAAACTAAACTAACTGTCTCTCTGCAAATGAAGGAAAGGTCACGGTGCATTTACATGCTGCCCATGTTTTGTGTCCCTGTTGTCCTTTTATTTAACATTAATCTTGTGTTCAGCTTTTGGAAGGATTTAAACCTTGTACCTAAAACTAGGGCTGCACAATACCTTAAACCTATATAAGTCTATATAAGCACGCACACTAATAAACATTTTAGTGACATTTATGGTATATTTAAGGACGTAGCAAGGTTAAATTCTCAAATGTTATTATGATTAAAACTTGCTGTAACGTAACCCCAACTTTTAGATCGATTTTTTTATTAACTTATATTTTTAAAAACATTGTGATCATATTGTAATAAACATATATTTACTCTGTATTGTGCAGCCCTAACTCAAACTGTGTGTAGCATCTGTAATTCTCTGTACACTCTATTCTCATTGCATGAAGTGAAACATTTATGTACCCACTACTCACTCACGTTTCCGGCTGATCTAGAATAATATATTATAATGTACAATAACGTTGAATAATGATGTGAATAATTTAGCTGATCACTTCCAGGCTTGTGCCAGAACTATGCAAGCTTTCAATTCTTACCAAAGGACACAATGAAAAGTGAGGAGCAGGCGTTTCTCTCACAGCTCTGACCTTGGCCTGTGTTTAGGTCTCACCAGAGCAGCCGAGGTGGAGTCTGTGGTAAATGAAGCGCTGAGGGGGCTTTCTCTCCTCCCTCTCCTCTTTTACAGGTCAGATCTGTGCCCAGTCTGCCCTGTGACTCCTGTGTGACTCCAGAGACTGCCCTTCGGCCTAATGAACTCCAGAGCCTGTAGGAGCAGAGGGAGGGCTTTCCATAGCGTGCTAAATAAGCTGTTATGACTGGCTTTGCAGTCACTTATTGCCTGCCAAATTGTTTCTACATTTATTTGTATTGTAAAATAAATGATGTATCTTGAAAATGACACTGTGCAGTTCCTTATGCTTTAGTTGAAATATACTGTACAATTTCTTTCATTTTCTTTTATTTCTTTGTTTTGGATCAACATTAGTTATTCCCTCAGCTTCTTCTTGGTTGTCAACTGTTAATTCTGCCACATCAATTAAAGGGCCCATATTATGCAATGTTTTCATCTATGTTATAATGTTGCTTCATCACAAACATACTTGGAGTTGTGTTTTGTTTCATTCACACGTTTAACACATAAATCTGCTGTATATTTAGGCTGAGTTCTTCTCTCAAATGGAAAACACCACTTAGTTCAACCTTGTGATGTCATGTGGTAACACAGGAAGTGCTCCATTGTGTTTTTAAACTGCATGGACCTTCCTTTATGAGAATCATTTGGATTATTTAAGTCTGGGAATTAGCTATTTGTAATGAACTAAAAGTCAAATTTAGCTGTTCACTTGAAAACTACATCTACATGACATCACAAAGTGGAACAGAGCACTGTGAGCGTTAGAGATGCAAACTGACTAATAATAAAGGATGTGTGAATGAAACAAAACAGCATTATAACGTGGTTTAAACCTCACAAGAGACCATTTTGTGTCATATAGGACCTTTAATTTACACTGTGTATCCTATATGTAAACCTTTTATTTATTATTATTAGTTTATTTTTAATTGTACCTCTTATAAAGGCTTATTTTTAGACACTACAAACAAACATTACAATACAACACATAAGCTTACACTTGCACTATTCCAGCTATGTCTTTTTACTCTGAAATATCCACTCTGCACTGCGAAAAGCAATATCTGGCTAAGTTAAAACAACTTCAGTTAAGAACATTTTACTTTATTTGAGTAGATTGTGTAAAGTTGTGTTCCACTGGTAGATACTTGTTTAGTGAAATTGACTCAAATCATGATAAAACATTCTTAATTCAAGTCATTTGGCTATGACTACTCAGTTAGATTATAATTTTTGCAGTGTAGTAAGGATGTTCTTTTATGAATGCGACTGGCTTTCTTGTTTACAGGTTTGTTTGAAATGAATGCACTCACTATAGTTGCTTAAATCTCCAAAGAGCCACTATTAGAGGCTTAGGGGGCGGAGCTAGGGGCCCGGTCGGAGGCTAATGAACACCTTAGGGCTTTATTTTTTACAGCGTAACCATGGCAACCATACATTCACTGTTTAGCTTGTCTACCTATAACCCTCTTTTATCTGTCTGGGCTCATATGACGCTGTTTTCTGATGTTATGATGTCATTTCTTTATAAAAAAAAACCCAAAACATACCTGGAGTTGTGTTTTGTTTCATTCACGCAAACCCTGCATAATCTCAAACTGAAAACACTCTGTTCTACCTTGTGATGTCATGTGGTGATACTGTTCACTTGAAAACTACCACTGCATGACATTAAAGAGCATTTTGAGCTTTGGAGATGTAGACAGACCAATAATAAAGGATTACTCAAATGAATGAAACAAAACACATCAGGTAATACAGGATCTTTATTGAACTGAAACGCCTTTTTATTTATTTTTTTCCAGTCCAGTGCTATAGCGTGTTCTCCCAGCTCTGAAATCTGCATCCTTCTTTCGATATATTTCTAAAGCTTGGAATTTCGTGCCTGTCCTTACACCTTTTCTTCCACACTGAGCCGTGTAGAGTTTCAAACATCACCTGAAACTGATCCCCTGTAGTATTGTGACATGCTACATGATGTCACACAATAGCAGCAGCCTCCAGGCCACATCCAGACCAACTTCACATTAAGGAATTTTCCACTCCACGCATGGCACATATAGATTTTATATCATATTTAACTTTGTAGATGTAATATTATTAGTTGTAGAATGCGTAGTAGTAGTAATAGTATTAATAGTATGCATTTGGTTAAATTAAATGGCCCATATTACACTATTTTCTGATCTATGTTATAATGTTCCTCATCAAAAACAATCCTGGATTGTCTTTTGTTTCATTCACACGTCATTGCTTTCAACACACAAATTCTGCATATTTAGGCTCTCAAACTGAAAACACTCTGCTCCACCTTGTGATGTCATGGGGTAATATAGGAAGTGCTTCATTGTGTTTTTAAACTCCATACATTTTCACTAGAATCATTTGGATAATTTCATCTAAACAAAAGGTAAAAGGAGCTGTTAACATGGAAACTAACACAACATGACATCACAAGGTGGAACAGAGTATTTTGATCTTTGGAGATGTAAACAGACTAATAATTAAATGTTACTCAAACATGTGTGAATGAAACAAAGCAACTCCGATTATGTTTTTGATGAGGAATGCCTTAAATCTCATAAAGTACGTCATCAGCATGTTCTGAGGGTATTAAAATGTATACAATTCCACATTATTGCATAAACAAACATCTGTTGCCCTGGAGAGAACCAGGTCATGACACAAGTTACAGGTTGGCTCTGTGGAGAGGCAACCATGCTCACAGCTAAAATGTTTTCAGGACAAAATGCTCCTAATTGATATTTTGCAGCTGATGTCCTCAATATTCCCAGGTGTGTGATGCTAACTGAGGCACTTCTCTGTTAGAAGCTCTGTTAGACTTTAATCTGAGTTTGATTTTAACAGAAAGAGCTGACTTAATTGGGACTACAACATAACACATAAAATTACAGTCACAAACTAGTTAGTATTAACAGTTTTTCAGTTACTCGCTCACCTTTTTTTGAAAATTAAACACCTAAACAGAACCATGAATGCTAGTATTGATCACAGGCTCCTGAAAAGCATTTTTTCTTTTTTCTTCTTAACACTTTTTTGGCTGCATTTTTTTTAAGTGTGCATGGTGTCGTCATGATTACTGCTGAACATTCTACCATAGAGATACATGTAGAGGGAGGGTCAGGTTCTATGTTATGTGAAAATAATAAATTATCATTTTTTTATTTTTTTGTATAATATGAAAGCGATCACATCTCCACAGAGACAAGTACTGTAGTAGTGTAACTGACAGACAACCAAAAGATTCCACACTGCAGCTTTAACAAAACTCCTACTTCAAAACAACTTGGATTTATTTATAAAGTGGTGCAGCTGGTGTGAAGACTGGAGTCACACCTGCTCAAGTGTGCCATTGTTTCGTACAGCACAGAACATTTTCATAAATCCACAGCACCAGTGCTACGTCTTGTGTTCCTGATTAATCAATCCTGTGACTCATTTTCCACCAGTGCTGAAGTGACAGAAAGAGCCCTGCATCATCTGCGTCACCTCTTTGAACCTTTTCAACTGCAGACCAAAGAGAGAAGAATTGGCTGGTTAGATAGTTAGAGGTTGAGTCATGGCCAAGATGAAGAAAAGAAAGTTTAGGCTCTTTACCAACAAGATCATGGAATTGTTTTAAGATTGTATTATTTTTATTTATCTACTTATTTATTTTTATTCTAAAACATATATATATATATATTTATATATAAAAGAAAACATATGTCACATTAAAAACACATGGGGCAGGGCTAATCTCACTCAAAGCAGCTTCTCAGTCCAGTACCTTTAGATTGATTTCATCTAAAGACATTAAAACAGCTAGCCTGATTCATCAGCTGGTTTCATTTTGTGGAAACCGTCTGCCCTTGCAGCATTAGAATTCATTCACTCGATGGTATGGGGGTACTTTTTTTACTTAACTAATTGCTGCTATTTGGTCGTGACATATGTAATAGGCTGCTAATGGGGCTAACTGGTATATTAAGTTTCTCCCAAAGAGCAAAAACATTCTCTTTGTTCCAGCTTTAAATCCTTGATCTCAGGAATCATTGCAAACATAGAATGTATGGCTTTGTCTACATCCATCTCAGCCGCTTTGTTTACTGTTGTGCTGTACCACAAAAGGGACTCAGACAGGCACTTGACTTTGACATCATGACTTCACAACTCTTCGCTGATTGGCCGGTGTGCAGTCTACAACTTACGGGATCCTTGCAGACTGTCTAGTGTAGTCCTGATCTAGTCGCTGGAGAGAAATTAAATTGAGCGGAGGCACTAGGTAGCACCAGCTTCGCTATTAAACAACCCCATATCACACTATTTTCTGATCTTTGTTATAATGTTGTTTCCTCATCACAAATATACTTGGCATTTTATTTTTGTTTCATCCACACCTGTTTAACAATCAAATCCTGCATATTTACACTGAGTTCTTGTCTCAAACCTAAAAGCCCTGTTCCAACTAGAATCATAATTTCAGCATTGGAATTTCCAAATTCTGCTAAACAAAAGGTAAAAGGTATCTGTTAATTTAAAATCATACTGTGGTCCAAAGCAAAATCAAAAAAGGGGGGGATCTGACGAAGGCTTTTTTTGCCGAAATGTTATTTAAAAATAAAAAAAAAAAGCTTTTGGACATCATGCCATCTGAGTGTGCTATGCCTTTTTTCACTTTTATGTTAACTTAAAATCTACCACTACATAACATTTTGAGCGTTAGAGATGTAGAGGATTAATCAAACAGGTGTGAATGAAACAAAACACAACTCCAGGTCTGTTTCTGATGATGTAACAACATCATAACATGACTGAAAGCTCCCAGGAATCCATAACGAGTAATATATAGAACCTTTAAAGACATTACATAGACTCCACAGATATTTTGGGCACAAAATTTCAGTCCTTTTCTGTAGGGCATCTGACATGAACATCTGTATAAATTAATTGTTATTTTGTATTTATTTGAATTGACAGTAAGACAATACAGAATAAGGAGTCACTATTTTGGCTGCTTTTTTTCTCCCAGCAGCCAAACTAATGACTCCTTATTTTGTACTTGTCTTACTGTCAAAAACTGTAGCTGTCAACTCAAATTCTACCATTTAAAGCTGTTAATCCTGTATTTTAAGAGATTATGTTTGGCAGTTTGTTAAATAAAACACTGCTCTAGTTGAAAAGACCCCACACACGCCCTAC